CTCCAAGAACTGGTACAATTCATGAGTAAATCACATTGGCAGCTCTAATTAATACTCGGATTTGAGTATTTATAGGTAAAACAGTTCGACTATCTACATCTAAAAGTCGGAAGCCTTCTCTGGGCAGTTCATCTGAGGGAATTATATTAGAGTCAGATTCATCTTGAAGGCCTTTTGAATACTCGTGACTTCAATAACACTGGTGCCCAATAGTATTTAGTGTAACACTATGGTTATTAACTTCATCTTGTAAATATAATGGTCGTAAAGAAGGAAGTGCAATAAAAATAAGCTAAGCAGGAAGTTTGTTTGTCCTTTTAATAGAAAGCGATTTGTAAATATATATATATATATATATATATATATATATATATATATATATATATAAATATATATATATATATATATATATATATATATATATATATATAAATATATATATATATATATATATATATATATATATATATATATATATATATATATATATATACATATATATACATATATATATATATATATATATATATATATATATATATATATATATATATATATATATACATATATATATATATATATATATATATATATATATATATATATATATATATATATATATATATATATATATATATATATATATATATAACAGACTAATGTTGTAAAGATTAGTACAACTATAGCATGTTCACGAAAAAAAATGTTCTATATTGTTTTCTTGGTTGGAGATTAAAGCCGATGCCTATGCCATTTTAGAAGTTAGTAATCAAGGATTTTCTATATAACTATGATCTGCGGGTGGAAGGTTATGTTGTCATTCAACTGGAGTAGGTAAGAATAGAGAGAATATTACCGCTCGACCAGCAGTTAAGAGTTTCTCAGACGATCAAAACAAATCCTAATTAATGATACTGTTGATCAGATTGATGATACAAAGTTTCACTCTGTATAGTCGTCTGGATAGTTTGAATAACGCCAAGGTATTCCATTGAGTCCTAGAAAGTGCTGTGGGTGAAATATAACATTTACTCCAACAAATATAACTAAAAAGTGAATTTTTATTCATTTTGGGCTTAAGGTAAGACCTGTAAATAAAGGGAATCAATGATCAATACTGGTAAAAATACCGAATTCTGCTCCGATTGAAAGCCCGGAGTGGAAATGAGCTACGACATAATAAGTATCATGTAGAATAATATCAATCGATGAATTGGCTAATACAACTCCAGTCAGACCCCTTCTGGGAATGAAAATACAAATCCTAAAGCTCAGATGAAAGAAGGACTGTAGTTTAGTCGAGTGCCGTGAAGGGTTACTAATCAACAAAAAAAATGAAATTATATTATGGAGGCCACGGATTTATTCTTTTATTATAATGAGTTCTAAAAAAAATCAGGTGTTTAAAGATAGTATGGAGGTTTATATATATATATATATATATATATATATATATATATATATATATATATATATATGTATATATATATATATATATATATATATATATATTTATATATATATATATATATATATATATATATATATATATTTATATATATATATATATATATATATATATATATATATACATATATATATATATATATATATATATATATATATATATATATTTATTTATTTATATATATATATATATATATATATATATATATATATATATATATATATATATTACTTTGAGTTATTGTATTGGTATTTATTGTAATTTACTTATATTGCTAAAATTATAAATACGACTCTAATAATTAAAGTAATGGAAATGGAAATAGAGAAAAAAATAAACAAACTATCTTTTCTAGTAAAGTTCTAGACCTGGCTGGAAGCCAAATATACTATATATATATATATATATATATATATATATATATATATATATATATATATATATATCATCATCATCATAAGGGGCATACGCATGGCTGCGCTTTGCCGCGCCCAACCTTTGCCTCCACCTCCTGGGGTCCCTCCGAGCAAGCAGGTATACCCCATGATTCTGCGAAGACACTTAGTACCAAAGGAGTCATGACAGGCCTTCAAAGCACTGTTCAGTGACCAGGTCTCAAACCCATAGAGTAAGACTGGGATCACCAGTGCTCTGAAGAACCTGATCTTAGTTCTAGTCAAATACCGACAGCGCCAAATACTCCTATTGAGTGAGTCCATAACGCCGTAGGCCAGTCCAAGTCGTCGAGTGACTTCCCGGTCGGAACCTCCATCGCTCTGCACTACACTACCAAGATAAGTGAAGCTATCCAAGACCTCAATGTTCTCGCCACAGGCATGCACAGACTGAACATCGACATCCAGCAAGTCCCCAAATTCCTGAACCTTGGTCTTGGTTCAGTTGACCGCGAGTCCCAACGGCTTCGCCTCCTCATGCAGCGCCTCGAGAGCTACTTCCAGGACCTCCAATGTCTCTGCTAGAATCACTGCATCGGCAAAGTCAAGGTCTGTGACCTTGAAATTACCAATTGAT